TAAAACTGAAAGAACAAGAATTTGAATTAAAACAACGAGGCAGAGAATAGCAACAAGAAAGATTACGTTTCAAGATACAACTAGCACAGGTGCGCCAACAAGATCCTTCAGATGTTCCTAGGCGTGATAGCACCGTGACCCAGAAACCTTTTGATCTTGGCAGGAATTTTCAGCTTATTGACATACTGTATTTGATAAGAATGATCCCGATTCCCTTTTCGCCATATTTGGGAATCTTGCTGCTAATCTTAAATGAGAAAAAGGGTATTGGGCTGTTCTGGCAGAGAGTGAGAGTTGTACCCAGGAAGAGTGAGAGGGCGTGGCCGAGACAACCTGGTTGAGAGTGAGAGTTGCGGGCATTAACCAGAGAGACAAGGCAAGGGTGTGGCTGATATGTTGTCTGGCAGAGAGTGAGAGTTGTGGACTGAAGCAGGGAGTGGTAGGTGCACTGCCAGGCAGAGTGAATATGGAAGAGGAGGGCGGAGAGAAGACACAAACGATCACTAGACCTGGAGAGGACGTGTTGATGCACTAGAGGACGGGTTGATGCACTAGAGGACGTGTTGATATAGTAGAGGACGGGTTGATGCACTAGAGGACGTGTTGATGCACTAGAGGACGTGTTGATATAATAGAGGACGTGTTGATGCACTAGAGGACGTGTTGATGCACTAGAGGACGTGTTGATGCACTAGAGGACGTTTTGATGCACTAGAGGACGTGTTGATGCAATAGAGGACGTGTTTGATATAGTTGATGCAATAGAGGACGTGTTGATGCACTAGAGGACGTGTTGATGCACTAGAGGACGTGTTGATGCACTAGAGGACATGTTGATGCACTAGAGGACGTGTTGATGCACTAGAGGACGTGTTGATGCACTAGAGGACGTGTTGATGCACTAGAGGACGTGTTGATGCACTAGAGGACGTGTTGATATAGTAGAGGACGTGTTGATGCACTAGAGGACGTGTTGAGGGTGGAAGGAAGAGCTGTTGTGTCTCAACTTTGTACAGGTTGTCTAGTTCAAACATCTTCATATGTGTAGCTGTAGTTTGGATCCATTTAGACTCACCAGTCCCATGATTCATACATTCTAGCAATTTTAAGGAAACAATGTTTTCATCAGGTTGATTTCAATTGTTCTTTCTTTGACACTTGGTATATCTAGTTCTTTCCTCATATTAAGTACCTTTGTGCTCATGGGGTATCCTAGAACAATTCTGAAGGTTTTATTTTGCATTTTTTCGAACTTGTCAATGCCTTTTCCGTCACGTACGATCAGGGCTGGAGCGTGGTGATCTAGCTAATATTTTATATAGCATAGGTACAGTCGGTCTCAAAAGTCTTGAACACTTGATAGTATTTGGCATGTAAGTACCCGAAGGATGTGATGACAAGTAGTGTTATTAGTATATCCCAGTCATATATGTATAACTCACAAGTAGATGCCTGATATTGCTAAGTGTTCAAGACTTTTGACCCCGACTGTATACGTTTTAACAATTCTAATATTAGCACCATAATGTGGGCTGTACCCCACTACACTTCTAACAGGTTTCAGTCTGCCAGTACATTGGCGGGTTATCGGTTATATGGCAAGTAACTTACAAGGGCCGGAGGCACCAAGATATTTCCCTTAGGCCTCGGGTGATGTTCCAGAACGTCCGCCTATTTTCCCGCCATTTTTTTTTTTTTTTTTTTTGAAATGTTGATTTTTTTCTCGATTTAACCCCGCGTGGGGGGTACTGGCAGCAGCACCCTAACCCGGGGCTTAAGAGTTTACATAGTCAATAATGTTGTTACCTATCTTGGACTTGGCGGGGCCGCGTTTGCTGTTACCAGCTTGTTTGTTGAACACCTTAGTTTTCTCAGTGGAGACAATAAGACCGAGGTTCTCACAGGCTGCATGTACATGGTTCAGGGTGGTTTGCATTTCAAGATGAGTTTTAGTATGTATAAGAATATCATCAGCATAGCTGATTGTGATATTGCTGGGGTTTTCTGGTATTAAATTTAATAATGCATTCATAAGAACATTGAACAAAGTAGAGCTAAGTACTCCACCTTGAGGGGTACCAAGTTGCATATCTTTAGTTTCACTTTTGTAACCCTGAAACAGTGCAGCAGCCCTTCTGTTGGTTAGGTAACCACTTATCCAGTGTAACAGCCTACCTCCTATATCCATTTTGGCTAGTTCGTACAATATCAGTTGTCTATTGGCAATATCAAATGCAGCTTTTAGGTCAAGAAATGTGGTGTATCTGTGCCTTTCATCACCATGCACAGTTAGGAATGTGGTGATGCAATTATGTACACCTTTACCATGGGTGAAGCCATTTATGTTAGGAGACATGTGTTCTCTATTTCTATATAAGAGTCTGCCAAGAACCATCCTCTCAAAGGTTTTACACAGGCAGCTGGTTAGTGATATGGGACGAAAAACATCAAGCTGCCCTGGTTTCCGTATTGGTACAACAATACTGCTGGTTCATGATGTGGGTAGTTGGCCCTCGGCATGACTCATATTGTACAATGCCATAATGGATTGATGCCATAATGGATTGCCCGGCACAAGCCTTAGTAGTCTAACGATATTGTAGGTGACTCCATCTTCTCCAGGGCCAGTAGACTTAACTGTGGCGAGGGCGGCGTCAAGCTCCCACTCAGTATATGGAACATCACACTCATCGTGCTGTTTGCCCAGCATAAAGTTAATGAGATTACTTCTCTCTACAGACTTCGCATCAAGGAGTCCCCGAGTCCTAGCTGGTAACATGTCATAGCTAGACACATGAGCCCACGTTGTTATTAGCTCATTCGATTTTTGCAGAGGGTTTGGATGGGAGACGTGTCTACTGTTTCTATCTCAGATTGCGTTTGTCTTTCAAGGCTTTGTTGAGGGATGTGTGTTGGTTCAGGCTGTTGACATATGTCTCCCATGTATTTTGTCTGAGTTCGTTTACACGTTCCCTGGCAGCAGCAAGGGAGACTTGATACAATTGTAACATTTAAGTGTTCTAATTTGCTTGTAACCCTTGCCCATCCTCCTGACTCTAGACATAAGGCTGTGTGTGGAGTATAAAGACAGACATAATGCTGTGTGTGGAGTATAAAGACAGACATAATGTTGTGTGTGGAGTATAAAGACAGACATAATGCTGTGTGTGGAGTATAAAGACAGACATAATGCTGTGTGTGGAGTATAAAGACAGACATAATGCTGTGTGTGGAGTATAAAGACAGACATAAGGCTGTGTGTGGAATATAAAGACAGACATAATGTTGTGTGTGGAGTATAAAGACAGACATAAGGTTGTGTGTGGAGTATAAAGACAGGCATAACGTTGTGTGTTGAGCATAAAGACAGACATAAGGCTGTGTGTGGAGTATAAAGACAGACATAAGGCTGTGTGTGGAGTATAAAGACAGACATAATGTTGTGTGTGAAGTATAAAGACAGACATAAGGCTGTGTGTGGAGTATAAAGACAGACATAATGTTGTGTGTGAAGTATAAAGACAGACATAAGGCTGTGTGTGGAGTATAAAGACAGACATAAGGCTGTGTGTGGAGCATAAAGACAGACATAAGGCTGTGTGTGGAGTATAAAGACAAGCATAAGGTTGTGTGTGGAGTATAAAGACAGACATAAGGTTGTGTGTGGAGTATAAAGACAGGCATAACGTTGTGTGTTGAGCATAAAGACAGACATAAGGCTGTGTGTGGAGTATAAAGACAGGCATAATGCTGTGTGTGGAGCATAAGGACAGACATAAGGCTGTGTGTAGAGTATAAAGACAGGCATAATGCTGTGTGTGGAGCATAAGACATACATAAGACATAATGCTGTGTGTAAGGACAGACATAATGCTGTGTGTGGAGTATAAGACAGGCATAATGCTGTGTGTGGAGCATAAGGACAGACATAATGCTGTGTGTGGAGCATAAGGACAGACATAATGCTGTGTGTGGAGCATAGGACAGACATAATGCTGTGTGTGGAGTATAAAAGACAGGCATAATGCTGTGTGTTGAGCATAAGGACAGACATAATGCTGTGTGTGGAGCATAAGGACAGACATAATGCTGTGTGTGGAGCATAAGGACAGACATAATGCTGTGTGTGGAGTATAAAGACAGGCATAATGCTGTGTGTGGAGCATAAGGACAGACATAATGCTGTGTGTGGAGCATAAGGACAGACATAATGCTGTATGTGGAGCATAAGGACAGACATAATGCTGTGTGTGGAGTATAAAGACAGGCATAATGCTGTGTGTGGAGCATAAGGACAGACATAAGGCTGTGTGTGGAGCATAAGGACAGACATAATGCTGTGTGTGGAGCATAAGGACAGACATAATGCTGTGTGTGGAGCATAAGGACAGACATAATGCTGTGTGTGGAGTGTGAAAATACGTAATGGGGATGTAACTGGCAGCTCAGTTGTAGTGGTTGAAATACATAGATATATTAAAATCATGTGTATAAGACATTGAGAAAGAACAATTAATATAAATGTATTAATAGAATGAACATCCACAGTGAGCACAACAGTTATGTTCTCTTTCTCATCTCTGTCTGTCACAAATACTGGACAATTCTTTCCTAAGAAATAATAATTTTAGTGCAGTGTGTGCATATTGTTTCTGTGTTTTTTATAAGCTCATCTTAACTTGTAAACTTCAAGAGAGACAATCAGGAGTAAAGAGTAAGAGGTTCTAATACCTTACAACATGGGATCATATCCCAGTTGGAGACCAGTTGTTATCACAAACAGGCCTATGCCTGACGTCGCCACCAAGGAGCGGAACAAAGTGTGGTTCAATTATTTGTTTATTATAATGTTTTATATTTACTTTTTGAATGGTCGTTTTGATAATTAATTGTGACTAATAAATACTAACCCGACCTAAAAATAAACAGGTAAAATATGTTATTCGCAAGGTTCTTGAGTTTGCATTATATAACCCTAGTGGAGAAGAGAAACTATTACACTGTATGCCACTTTTATTGATCCAATATGTTTTCAGGAACATATCTTTTTTTTTTCACATCAGAGACAATGTATTTATGTTAGTTGCCATGGATGTTTTTTATGGCTTTTGATTGATGCTGGGTTAATTACTCTATAGACACTTATGTACAGGTGTTGAGGCATCCTGGGGGAATCATGTGTCGTCAACCATTTATAGACCTTATGAGCAAGAGATGAGATGAGTCATTGTACCCAAACACTGAGTAGTGTTCGACCTAAAGAGCACTGGAGTTATTTATTCACATAACACAACTCCATATGCGCTTGATACTATTTTGAAATTTCGTTTGATTTCATTAACACAAACTTTAGAGGATAAAAACTAACAAAGTATAACTCAGATACAAGTGTTCTAAAACAAATAGATATAATCAAGCAGAACATTTTTCCTTGGATTTAATGTACATTTCAACATCCTCATTCTTGCTGATCTAATACTCATTAGCGACGAAGTGCAGTGAACACATAGCCGTACTTGTCACCAGTGTTGGCAGAATACTGGTGTAGAAGTACATCACCTACAATATGACTGGTATGGCCACTGGTGGATTGACTATCAGCATCGGTTACTGCAGACTTGACTGCAGCAACAGACGGCACACTGTGCGCGGGTGACCCACCGACATTATTTGAGGGGACAAAATATGTAACTGCTGGACTTGAAACGCTACCACGTGAGCCGAAATCAGCTTCAGGTGCAACAGGAAGATGATCTCCTTCAGCAAGGAAGCCTGTGTCAGACCCTGCCACATAGTTCACAGTGAGCCGATTGTTGCTATCTGGAGGCACGAAGCTGTAAGTTCCCTGTACATTGAGATTAGGATCAGCACTTTCAGACCGGCTGCTGTCTCCAGCATCATAGCTGAAGGAGTAGGAAGCATCAGAAGAAGACGAAGATACACCAGTGTGGGTGGTAGGTCTTAAGGCACCGGCAGTAGGTTCAGAGGCACTGTATGAAACAACGGCAGGGTCAACTGCGAATGTTGCAGACGCAAGTCTATTAGCTTCCTCTTCAGAGAGAACTGGAAGAATCCTTCCGGTAGGAACGCCACTTTCAGCACCTGGAACTGACGGTCCTCTTGGTAGCGAGTCTCCTTGAGCAATGTATCCAGTATCAGCACTAGCACTGTACTTGATCTGTCGGTTGATACCGTCATCAGCCACAAAAGCGTATTCTCCTCTGACAGAGTTCTTGGCGTCAGCAGATTCAGCACGAGAGCTGCTGGCAGTCCCGTAGGAGAAACTGTAGCTACCATCCTCTGCAGCAGAACTCCTAACTTGAGCTACCTCTACAGGTGCTGAAAGAGCAGGAGCCGTACTAAACTGAGCTGCATCACCAGGAACAGCTGGGGCAGAAGCTGGTGCAGCATAGGCAATTGGAGCACTACCCGTAGGTGAAACTGATCCAGCGGTAAGACGAGAGCCGAAGTCAGCTTCAGGTGCAACAGGAAGATGATCTCCTTCAGCAAGGAAGCCTGTGTCAGACCCTGCCACATAGTTCACAGTGAGCCGATTGTTGCTATCTGGAGGCACGAAGCTGTAAGTTCCCTGTACATTGAGATTAGGGTCAGCACTCTCAGACCGACTGCTGTCTCCAGCATCATAGCTGAAGGAGTAGGAAGCATCAGAAGGAGACGAAGATACACCAGTGTGGGTGGTAGGTCTTAAGGCACCGGCAGTAGGACCAGAGGCACTGTATGAAACAACGGCAGGGTCAACTGCGAATGTTGCAGACGCAAGTCTATTAGCTTCCTCTTCAGAGAGAACTGGAAGAATCCTTCCGGTAGGAACGCCACTTTCAGCACCTGGAACTGACGGTCCTCTTGGTAGCGAGTCTCCTTGAGCAATGTATCCAGTATCAGCACTGGCACTGTACTTGATCTGTCGGTTGATACCGTCATCAGCCACAAAAGCGTATTCTCCTCTGACAGAGTTCTTGGCGTCAGCAGATTCAGCACGAGAGCTGCTGAGTCCCGTAGGAGAGCTACCATCCTCTGGAGACCTACCTCTACAGTAAAGAGCAGGAGCCGTACTAAACTGAGCTGCATTACCAGGAACAGCTGGGGCAGAAGCTGGTGCAGCATAGGCAATTGGAGCACTACCCGTAGGTGAAACAGATCCAGCGGTAAGACGAGAGCCGAAGTCAGCTTCAGGTGCAACAGGAAGATGATTGCCTCTGGGAAGGAAACCTCGGTCGTCCGCCGTGTATTCGAGCTTGATGTTTGCTCCCGTTGGGTCCTTGTATCCAAATGATCCGGTTATTTCACCAGGAACTTGTGCCATAGCTTGTTCATAAATTTCGTCACCAGTGTCGTACCCATATTTAAATGTGCCATCGGAGTGAAGGACGTAATATTGGGCGCGAGCTCCAAGACCCACAGTCGGGATGTTGTACTCGGCATCAGGACGTGGAAAACTCAGTGTGCTAACCACCGCCAGGGACAACACTACCTGTGGGCAAAAACAAAATATAAAGTTTACAGTGAATAAAACATTACAATTATTGTGTGACTATTATGTGATTATTATGTGACTCCATGAACATATTGTGAATACTCCATATTTATCAGAATTATAGTACATGAAAGATAAGGTGGGAATGCAATAAAATCTAAGAGAGGGAAAATTAAATATCCAATGTGTAATACAACATTGACTCATTCCCGCGTGGTACTCGTATGTCATAATGTTAATTATACTTACAACATTATTGTGACAGGCTAATAGACAGTCAAACAACACTGTACATCAGTTGATACATGTTTCCGTGGTAATTAATAAATGGTCTTTTTATATGTATTTTGTGTTAAATCTTCAGAGCTATGGTGTCATATACCCTTATTTATGTGTCAAGAATGTATGACTTGTTTTTTCTTCATATGCATTTTAATGATCTACAGGATTATTTTGGTTACTCAGAAGTTTCCCAAATAGATAAATAGATTGGAGTTATCGCTAACAATATATGAAGGCTTCAGAGGAGAGAGGGAAGGAGGGTAATGGGATAGAGATAATGGGAGTAAAATAAATAAACACAGAGCAGTAAGAAAAAGAAAAGGATGTAAGAAACAGGGATATTTAATGAAATGACTGAGGAAGCAATAGGTATATAGGAAGATGATCCTCAAGCTGGCAAGACACAGGGATGCGGACAATAAAGATATAGTTTAAGCATCATCACTAGATAACAAAGAGGGGATATTGGTGTCAGGGAGGTCCAATGAGTGTGGAAGGCAAATGTTAATTACCCGTTGAACCCAAAAAGGCAACAGAGAGATAAAGGAAACAAGGAGAGTGAACACCTCAGGGAATAATGAGGCAGCTGTCAGAGATGAAATAATTGTGGAAATGATTCGACCAGCTGAGTGATACAGGAGGCTGTTGTGCGTTTTATCAGAGGAAATTTAGCAGCAGAATGAAGGATGGGAATGATAATTGTAAAATAAAAAGATTAAAAAACAATTGAGAAATATGAAGAATCTGTATCATCTTATTTTGTTACCGATGAAGTGGATCTTAGTTGCAATAGTTAAAGAGGTTACAGAGAACTGACATAAATGTGGAAAGCGATGAGGTAAACAGTGGAGAAGGGGAAAAGGGTTCATAAGAGATATATACAGTATGAGTTGTGGGTTTATAAACCTTGAAAAAAGTATATGATAGTGCGCCAAGAGAAGTAACATCTGCAGTAATGAGATGGATCGAGATGGGGAGGCAGATGTGAGGAAAGTTAATACGATGTACGACGATACATCAACAGTTGTGAGAGTGGGAGGAGGTATATCTAATGAATTTGAGGCAGGAGTGAGCCTTTGTTACGGAATTGCCATAAACACTCTTCTGTTTATAACGGTAATGGAATTAATCAATAAAAAGGTAACCGAGGAGGAGCTGATAAAGAAAACTGTTTTATGCATATGACCTGGCAGTGATGGTAGGGTGCAGGAAGAGTAAAGAGAACACTAGTGGAATGGTACGATATCCTCGAACAGTGAAGACAGAAAATAAACTTTGAGAAGAGTGAAATGATGCGAGTAGGGGCTGATAGTTTTGCATACCTGGGAAGTGCAATAAGCAAGGCTGGTGATAATGAAGGGGAAGTGCACAGGCGGAAAAGGAAAACAAACAAATATTAACAAGGGTAAAAATAAACGGAGTTATGTGGAATAAGAAGATAAACAATTGAAAGGAAACTATTGGAGACATAAGTATACTGGCTAGCAGTTATGGTTTAAAAAGAGTAACATTTACTACGTTAGAAATGCATGTGATATATAGAGTAATGGACGAAGGAGGTTGACGGACATAAAAGGAAGACATTGGGATGAAGAAGGATTTTAAAGAAACGCTAGTTGGTAGCAGGTTGGGGCAGGCAGAACTTGCAAAACAAATTAAATCGATAAATTAATTTTCATTAGTTCGCTACGTCTGTGTGGGGTTTTTCTGCATCACTCCATACGTTCCTCTTCGTCAGTCGTCACTGATGTGTCATACAGGTCAAATAATTTATCTTTTAATGGCCAACGTTCCTTGATCTTAATATCATACTTGGACTTTCCAGAGCCACTATACATGTAGTTTACACAATTTGTATTTTGCATCACGTATTCTCTTCAAAATATACTCGTTGTTCATAAAAAGTATGCCGTGTAACCTTACATTATTACACTAACTATATCTTTAGTATGCGAGTGTGAACGCGTTGGGCACAGTTTGATCAAGTTCCATGTTAGACTAACTTAAATAACTTCAGACAACTTCTCGTAGCATTTTTCTCAGGATTTTTCAACAATGATATTAGATATCATAATTTATCAAAAAAATTTAATTCCATATTTATATTTTTTATGAAGAACTGTAGAGAAAGAGTGTCGCTTTGTGTGTGTGTGTGTGTGTGTGTTGTGTGTGTGTGTGTGTGTGTGTGTGTGTGTGTGTGTGTGTGTGTGTGTGTGTGTGTGTGTGTGTGTGTGTACACATCTATACTTATACGGTAATATGTGTGTGTGTGTGTGTGTGTGTGTGTGTGCGTGTGTGTGTGTGGAAGTTAATTCAAACAACATCACTCAACACAACAGGGTCACTTTTCCCCCGAAATCATGAAAATAACAACATATTAAAGACCCAAATACCGTTGAAACAAATTAAAGTACTTCTTATATCTTTCACCAATACACTGCTCACATCCATACGTGTTCAATACTGTGTTCAGAATACTTACTAAGCTAGTCCACGTCACCATGTTTTCGGCGGAGAGGCCAGGATGCCTGTGTCGAGCTCTGATCTAGTTAACCCTTATATACCTGGCCGCGTTGTGTGTGTTCGTTTGTAGTGTCATGAAGATGACCATCGGATGATCCTGCCCTGGGCACCACAGTGATCAATTGGGTAACTGCCAAGTTGAACGCTCAATAGTGTGGTCACGCCCTACCTTAGCATCGCTCACCTGCAACACCTTTTACACAGATACCAATCACACTAATATAAATGAAACTCCTTCCGAAACGACTGATAAGTAAGAATTGAAATGTTGCTGAAAGGTTCGCTCGCTGCTCCATATACCTCCCTGTTGTGTTCGGTTTAAGAGACTCAACAGGACGAAGAGATTGTAAAACTGAGAACGTCCTTCCCGCGCGTTTGTGTATGTGTAGTAGTGAGTCCAAGGTCGCGACGAGGCCTCTGCTGCCCCACATACACATCTGGTGCGCCCTGGATAGCACACTCACTTTCAATTTCCTCCCGGAGACGCGTCCACCTTACTCGGGCCTTCTTAACCTGGCACTTCATTCCCGCACAGAACTCTTGGTCTCCGTACACCAGAGACAAACACTCTATCATGTGTGTGTGTGTGTGTGTGTTGTGTACTTTATTCTACTGTAAACAATTAAGAGAGGAGAACCCTGATCTCTGTCCGTATGACAGAAAAGAACTCTGATCCCCACCCTTTTGAACGAAGAGAACTCTAATTTTTTGACCTGAAAGAAAAACTCTGTAATTTGTACACTTGACAGAAGAAATTCTAGCCTCTACACTCCCTACGAAATCTGTAGACCAGGCCTACGTGTAACAGGTGTTTGTCTGATATATATTTTTAGAGGACCCTTCACTCTGACAATCTCCAGTCACAATACCACTGCTTCTCATGAACTCGGTATAACAGAGCAACGGCAAGATAACAAATAATGATGTTGTGTGTGTGTGTGTGTGTGTGTGTGTGTGTGTGTGTGTGTGTGTGTGTGTGTGTGTGTGTGTGTGGAGAGACGGCGGGGAGGAAGAACACTTCGAGGGTTGCACACATGACCTAAGCGTCGCCGCCACCATCACCTCGCAGCTCAAACATTACTTGTGGGTTTTGTGGTGCTCAGTAACTCTTCTCGTGCTTTAACTGATGCAAATTTATAACGAATATTAGTTAGAAAACATACTGTATGTGTAGTCTCCAAATTACATAATTATTATTTGATATATTTAACTGGCACAGAGTGCCAGCTATTGACATCAGTGTTTTATTCTTATTACTGAGCTTCAACTACGCTTCAATCGCGTAACAAGGTTAGGAATTGCAATCGTCCATCAACAATTAAAGATTATGAAAGAGAAAACACTGTATATATATGACAGTTAATACTCCTAATAAAAGAAACGCGGCGGTCGAGTGAATACATCGCTCGCCTCCTGTTCCAGGGATTAGTGGGTCGATTCCTGGATTCTCCCATTCCGCCCAGGTGTAAATGGGTACCTAAGTTTACAACTTTGGAAAGTGAATGCAGTCGGGAGAAGTACCGGCCATGCTTCCTTCTTGTGTACCGTACCGGGTGATGTATCTACACTCTCCCTAACTGGCAGTCATACCTAGAAAAATAAGTTTTACTTTTCACTCCTAGTAAACACAATTATTTCCTTCTATTTTCCACTGTGAATTTTTTAAGCAAAATGATGAATTAGGGATCACAAATACACAACAAATGCACAACAAACACACATGCATATATATATATATATATATATATATATATATATATATATATATATATATATATATATATATATATATATATATATATATATATATATATATATATATATATATATATATATATATATATATATATATATATATATATATATATATATATATATATATATATATATATATATACTCACCTCCTGTATATATATTGTTTTGTATTCTCTTTAGTCTGTACTCACCCCTGAAGATGTGAATTACACGAAAGCGCTTGGGAACTTCGTGTTTTTTTCTTCCTTGTGGTTATCAGCATATACCTAGATCACGCGCACCTACAGTGATTTACTTGCATATATATATATATATATATATATATATATATATATATATATATATATATATATATATATATATATATATATATATATATAACAAAGAAGTATGTCTGTGTGTTTGTGTGTGTGTCCGCACGAGAATCTCGGAAACT